TTATGAATACAAAAGGAAAGAGAGAAGCAGCACAGGTTTGCAACCACTCGTGTGATAATGACTTAGGTGGGGCGCCTCCGTGGAGACCAGAACCATGGAGAAGTGGGTATTTATCTGCTCTCAACATCACCCCAGATTATTTATTAATTATTACAGAAAGGAGAGAAATTACATTTAACTCTTTTAGGTTTTGCAGCTCTGAGAACTGCTAACACCTTAAGTATAAGATGTATTGCTTATTATCTTTGGTGAGCTTTTAAGATGTTTATTTTGTTACATGTATGAGATAATACAAAATTTGTAGAAACCCAACAGGCTTTTGCCACTTCTCAGTATCTAATAGCTAGATGGAAGACATGGTGTCATAGAAACGTAAGTTCGAGAATCTTACTTCACTGTTTATTTATAAAGCTATAATATCTGGTGATTGTCTACACCCTTGTCTGCAACTATGGATGTTAAATTTTTACTAGTTCCAAAGTCAGCACATGCTCATTTACAGTTCTTTGATTCTATTTGTGTATTCCTGCCGTTCTTTCAGGTGAATTCATGTATCTCAGGAAGATTGAACAAACCCAGTAGATACATACTGAGTGCCTGCAGTATTGTAGGAGGTGGTAGCACTTTGAGATGATGAGTATTTGAAAGCCTGGGTCCTGTGTGAGCAAGTCCGTGACTCCCCTGCTGTTGCTCGCGTGTGGAGCGGGGAGCATGCAGAGGAGGGCACTCTTCTCTTCTGTGGAAAAGGTTTACTGTTAATGTAGTTGGGCCATGACCTTTAAAGCTGCATCTTCCTTCCTTCTCCCAGGCATGCTCAGTCCCTGGCTGCTCTCCAGGCTTACTCTCACTGGTTAGCACAGTATTACAGTGAAGTCCATCGGCAGAATACACAGCAATTCGTCTCACTGATCTCCACCACCATGGATGCAATCACACCTCTAATCAGCACCAAGGTATTAAAATGGCGAAGGCTGTGCTTTCTGTCTGTCTGTTCTTCTGTCCATATACCCATATATTATAAAAATAAAACGTTACACAGTTAGACTATAATTCTTAGCACTTCCAGCATACATCCAAATACAGTGTTTTTAGTTTTGGTTGGTTTTAGTTAAGTCCTACATAAACATATGCTTATTGTAAAAAAAATAAAATACTGCTCAGATTTAGAGACCCAAAAGTTACTCTTTTATCTCCAACACGTTTTCCTTCCAAGGTAACTACTGTCAGCAGTTTGTTGTATATCCCCCCAGACTTTTCTGTGTCATTACCGACATGAGTAAAAGCTGATAGACTACCGGGGCCACGATAGATGGACCCTGATGAAGTGGGAGAAAATGTGGACCAGAACCTCAGATTCCTTCAAAAAGGAAAAAAAAAAAAACCAAAAAAACCGTTGGACTGATTGAGGCTAGAGGACTCCCCAAGACTATTGCCCTGAGATGCTCTTAAAACCTTGAACCAAAATTAACTCCTAAGATTACCTTGTAGCTAAATAACAAATTCGCTAAAAAAAAATCATCAATATCACAGGTAGGTGCTGTGCTCCTTTAAAAAAATCACCTCTGTGAGACCAAATAGTCAACGCTGACTTTAACACAAAGATGAGAATGTTAAAGGGGCAGGGAAACTAGATGAATGGAAATAGAACAAACAGAACAAAAATACTGAGAATGTTCCCCCTTTGGGAAGAAAGCTACTGAGTAACTTGTGTAGAAATTATTGAATGGCAGGGAAAACTGCATAAATTGTCACCAAAAACATAGTAAAATTATATATAAATTACATATATATATACACACACATATATATATACATATATACATATATATATATATATATACACACACACACACATATATATGGGAGCCCTGGTAGCATAGTGCCTAAGGCACTTGACTGTTAACCAGAACGCTGGCGGTTCAAACCCACCAGACACTCCTCGGAAGGAAGGTTGGGCAATCTACTTCCATAGAGATACCACCTCAGAAACCCAAGGAGGGGCTGTTATGAGTCAGGTCCAACTCGATGGCACATAACAACAACATGTATATGTGTATATATACATATATATGTAAGTGTATGGATAACGTAGCACTTTTTTTTTTTTTTTTCGCTTAACAATATGCTTTGGAAACCTTTCCCAAAAAACCAGACTCACTGCCATCGAGTCAAATCTGACTCATAGTGACACCCACCCCCACCCCCACCCCCCGCTTGGGTTTCCAAGGAGGTATTACTATGGAAGCAGATTGCCCAACCTTCCTTCCTAGGAGTGGCTGGTAGGTTTGAACCACCAGCCTTCTGGTTAGCAGTCAAGTGCCTTAGGCACTAGGCCACCAGAGCGCCTTGCAAACCTTTAAACCTCTGGAATAACTTCATTTTTTCAAATCACCCAGTACTGTTCTGTAGTATGGATGTAGTATAATTTTTCTACTGATGGAAATTTAGGGTTTTAAATTTTATATGGCTGCAGTGAGCATCCTTGTATGTAGGTCTTTATACACATGTGCTAGTAGGTCTGTAGGATGAGTTCCTAGAAGTGGGACTGCTGAGTCCAAGGTTCTGCCCATGTGCAATTTGATAGAGTCTGTTAAATGGTTCTCTGAGAAGTCTGCCAGGTACGATCTCCTACAGGATGGAGCTGCTTATTTATCTTACTTTTTTTTTTCTTGTAATTTTAATCATATATTATCGTTTTGTGCTACTTTTAACACAGTGTATTGTTTTTGTATGTTTGTGCTGTGTTTTTTATTATGGTAGTTTATAAATAGTTATATTCTCTGAGGCAGTTGTTTCATAATTTACCTGACTCATTGCTGTGTTGTTAGATTGCCTCAGTGACTTTTAAAAAAAATTCTTACAAATAATTCTGAAATGCTTGTATTTATTAGTATAACTTTATGCTTTTAGATAAGTTCCTTAGCCAAAGTGGGAATTTGGGTATAATACATAATTTTTTCCTAAATGTTTTTACATGCCCCCCAGCTCTGTTTTGATTTGCTGTTTTCACCATAGTCATCCCAGCATTAGGTTCTGTTTCTTCGCTAATTTGAAAATGATAGGATGATACAGGAACCATATCTTTGATGGGCATGTTGAGGTGGATGGTTGATATGATTGATGGAGTGCAGAAGGAAGGAGCTAAGAGAGGTCGTGACTTTCTTGGAGCAAGAGTAAGATGAAGAACCCCAGGTTCATTGGAAGGGGAGGACTTTCAGTTATAGGCCCAGGAGTTTGCCATGTGCTTTAATAGCTCATGGGGAACCACTCTAGAGTGCTGAGCTGGGAAGTGACTGAGTTCAAACATTCCAGTGACTGTGAACAGGAAGAAAGTAGAGGTGGTGAGACTGGCTCCAGGCAGGAGCTGTGTACATGGCAAAAAAAGATTGGACACCTTGCTGCTGGGAGTCAGCATAGGGAAAATTCTTTGACATGTTGCCTGGACTGTGTAATTTGTTAGCTGTGAACTTTGTTTAGCTTGTGGTTGCCTTTTGAGAAGGGCATGTTGTCAATGCTCTTTTGATACCACTCCCAGGGGGACGCAGTGAGCTGACATGTCCTCTTCCCTCCCAGGTCCAAGACAAGTTGTTGCTGTCTGCGTGCCACTTACTGGTCTCACTAGCCACCACTGTGCGGCCAGTCTTCCTGATCAGCATCCCCGCAGTACAGAAAGTGTTCAACAGAATTACCGATGCCTCTGCCCAGCGGCTTGTCGACAAGGTGAGGCCCACAGCTGTCCCAGCATCCCCAGAGCTACGTGGCTCAGACCCACGGAGGGTGAGGGAGAAAAGTCTGGCTTTTCTTTTTGTACTTAGTGCTTATAGGCCGTGCCAACACACACACAGTTTGTTCAGTATGTGTCACTGATGCAGCCTCCATGATCTCTCATAATGCCCTTCCTGACACAAATGATCAGCTTGCCAGTTCAGACATAAAACAGTCCTCCCAGAGAGGTGCCACTTCCTGGTCTTTGAGAGCTGGTGATGTGGCCAGTGTTGTGAGAGTCCACTATCATTTTGGTTTAAGACAGTCTGGGTTTTGTTGTTGTTGTTACGTGTTTGGTTGTCTTTTCAGGGTTAAAAGGCTCCAGGCAAGCATTAGTCTTTCTAGGGGGCTAGAAGTTCAAAAACAAACAAAAAAAGGGGTCAGGCGAGGAGTCAAAGCAGATACTCTGAGCCCCTAGGACGTGAATGCATGGCTGCTGACCTGATGCCAAAGGCACATTGATTTCAAGAGATTTTCCTAAAAGCCTTGTTTTCAGTGGCTCCTCAGAGGATGTCAGAAGCCAGCAGCTAAGGGCAAGTGTCCACAGTGTGATGTTTCCCTGTGTGAAGGAGAAGGAAAGGCGTCAGAAGTGACTATAGAGCCAGACTGAATGTCACTGCTTTTCTTTTTCCTCCCGTGCTTGCATTAGAGTTGGACCAAAGCCCCAGGCCCAGGCTATCAGAAAGAAGTCTGGGAGCCTGAACTAAGAGTGTGCAGTGGGTGCCAGATGCTGTGCCAGGTGGGGCTGCTCTGCTGTCTATGGCTCTTTGACCTCCTTGACGGGTGCCTTCGGTGGTCCCTTCCAGGCCCAGGTGTTGGTGTGCCGTGCCCTCTCTAATATCCTGCTGCTTCCATGGCCAAACCTTCCAGAAAATGAGCAGCAGTGGCCTGTGCGCTCCATCAACCATGCCAGTCTCATCTCTGCACTCTCCCGAGACTATCGCAACCTGAAAGCCAACGCTGCCGCTCCACAGAGGAAGGTGCCAATGGATGACAGTACGTATCCTGCTGGGGGACAGTACAGGGAGATAGGTGGGCATGGTTCCTCCTTTTTGGCAGCTGAATTTTGCACCTGAGGCCCATGAGGTGAATTCATTTGTCTATCGTCTCAAAGCCGCTGAGCAGGAAGAAAAAAAAAAATAGCTGCTGAGCAGAAGAGTCAGACTCAGGGTGGTGGGAGCCCATTTCTCTGTGCAATTCATTTCATACATCAGCTGGACCTATTTCCTGAATGTGGGATGACTCTTCTCTTATTTTAAATGTGGAAAGTGCTGGGACCTAAGGAAAAAAATCCATGGAAGGCAGTACTGATAGAGCCTCCCATCAGTAAAGTGACCATTGATCCGTTTCAGAGATTTGTAAGCAAGCCTAGCAGTTCATCTCTATAAACTAGGAAAGTGAATTAAGAACTCTGGTTTTAAAAATTTTTTGAACTTTTCTCAAGTACAAAGATTTCAGGAGCTTTGCAAGAGCTTGATGTCTTTCCAAATGGCACGTCAAGTCTAATTGTTGATATTAAAAGAAGAGGGAGAAAAGGAATCAGGAGAACTAGTATTTCAAGTGGGAGATAATCAGATTTCTCTGAAGAATCAAATATTTTAAAACAATCCGTTTTCACAATAAGTACTGAATAGTATAATCTGTAGAATGTCAATAAAAATATTACTTTTACAATCAGGAAAGCTAATACATGCTCATTAGGCAAAGAGAATAGTATAAAAAAGGAAAAAGAAACTCCTGAATCTCACCAATTTAAGTATTTCAGAAAGCAATATTTTAACTATTTTTTGTCATTCTTTACCTTTTTCTGTCTTACTCATTTTTCCCTTCCATTTGCAATACCTTGTGTAGTTACATAGTTGGAGTTAGAACAGCTGAGTTATTGAGAGCATACTGTGTGCTGGACGGTGTGATACTATCATCACATCTCTTCTTCATCATCAGCCTGTGGGTCTGGTGTTTGATCCTGGTTCTAAGTGTTTTACATTCATTCAGAATCGACTTGACAGCACTGCTTGGTTTATTCATTTAAATTCTCCCATCAGCCTTATGAGTTAGATACTGTTAATTATCCTAATTCTATCTATGAGGAAACTAATGTATGAGAAGATTAAGAAAATTGCCCAGGGCAGGTCATATAGCTATTGTGGGATCATGTTTTATAAATGGTTTCATGGTCATCTTTTTTCACTTAATCTTATATGGTAATTGTGTCAGTCAGCAGAGGCTATGTGGTAACACACTCAAAAAACTTAGTGACTTCTCCGGCACTAGTAGCAGAGTTCAACAAGACAGAAAATAACAAATGCTGGCGAGGTTGTGGAGAGATTGGGACTCTCATACACTGCTGGTGGGACTGTAAAATGGTACAACCATTGTGGAAAGCAGTATGGCAATTCCTTCAAAAGTTGGGATTAGAAATACCTTTTGACCCAGCCATTCCATTACTAGGTATATACCCTAAAGAAGTGAGAGCCATGACAAGAACAGATATATGCACACCCATGTTCATTGCAGCACTATTTACAATAGCCAAAAGATGGAAACAACCTAGATGTCCATCAACTGAGGAATGGATAACCAAACTATGGTACATACACACAATGGAATACTATGCAATGCTAAAGAGCAATGTAGAATCTGCAAAACACCGTATAACGTAGATGAATTTGGAAGACATTATGCTGAGTGAAATAAGTCAATCACAAAAGGACAAATATTGTATTAGTCCGTTATTGTAAAAGTTAAGGGAAGGTTTATCTATAGAAGGAAATTTTCTTTGTTGCTTACCAGGGGTGGGAGGGGAGGGGAGGGAATGCTGTTAGAAAGATGATAGATAGAGATAAGTACTGATTTGGGTGAAGAGAAGGGCAGTGTACCAAATGTGAGTGAACAGTATGGCAGCATTGAGGATGAGAAAGGCATAGAGAGGTACATGGGAGGTACAGACGACAAAATGAACCCTTTTGCACATAGAGTACTGCGTTGTCAGTGAAGGCAAACATGGGTATATGGATGGATAGATGGGTGGATGGATGGATAGATGGGTGGACAGGCTAAACGATTAGGTATGTCTATGAAATGGGAAGTACATCCAAGAACATATATAGGGTTGGCAGACGATGGTCCTATAAGTTTATGTGAATGATCAGAGTTCCCAGGTGTGTAATAGAGCTGACAAGGGGCAAGGTTTTGGTCACTGCTTGGTCACAGCCAGGTACCCAGAGGGACCGAGTAGTTGAATCTGCGGGCTTGGGACCATAGTCGCAGGGGACATCAAGCTCAATTGACATAACATACTATACAAAACATTGTTCTATCTCCTACTTTGGCGAGTAGTGACTTAAAAGCTAGCAAGCTGCCATCTAGATGCAACAATGGGTCTCTCCTCATCCAGAGCAAAGAAGAATGAAGAAAACCAAAATTCATGGAAACAGTCCTAGCAACTGGTCCGATCTGCAGCCGATACAACTATGAGACCAGAAGAACTAGATGGTGCCCGGCTACCACTGTCATCCACTTGGAAAGGGATCTATGTAGGAGATCCTTGATAGAGAGGGAGAACAATGTGGAACAAAACTCAAAATAATTTGGAGAAAAAAAAAAAGGTGGGGACCAGGTTTGCTGGTCCAATAGAGCCTGGTGGAACCACTGAGACTATGGCCCCTAGCTGCCCTTCAGGTCTGGAATTGAACCCATACCTTCTTTGTTAGCTTCCAGCCAAACAGAAGACAGGCATATGAGTTAAACATTTACCTCAAGTAGATACACTCCTTGGAGAGAACAGTCATGGGAGAAAGAAGGGCTGCTTATGTACAGGGAGACAGCTCAGGGGGCAGGAGTGTATGGAGGGATGGACACTGGGAAGAGGTAACTATGGGGAGGAAGTGGGAGGGGAGCTGTTGCATTGTGGTAAACTGTGGTCAATGACATGAGAGAAAGTATATGTGAACTGCTGTATGGAGAGTGAATTTTCTCTGTAAATCTTCACCCAAATCACAATTAAAAAAAAAAAAAAAACTTAGTGACTTAATGCAAGGAAAAAAAAGGGTTGCTTCCTCCTGCTACATGCGCAGTTTGGGTCATAGGGGAGGTAGGTCCTGCTCATTGTAGTCCTTCAGGGTCCAGGCTGATGAAGGCTTCATTTCCATACGTTTTCATGATTACTGAGGCTCTGGGAAGGGAATTGTGAATTGTGTAGTAGTTCTTAAAGTTTACCTAGAAGTGACACTTCCCCTCACTTTTCATTGGTTGAGCAAGTTACAAGACCATGCCTAATTTCAGAGGGGTGGGGAAGTGTGGTGCCACCATGTGCTGGAAATAATGGCTAAGTGGGTGGCATTGATGATTTCCATGGTGAACATAATTAAAGACGTAGTTAACATGTGTGAGTGTTTACTGTGTGCTGAGAACTTGATAGGCATTACTTCATTTGGTCTTTGCTGTATATAGCTCTGCAAAGTATATCTTACTATCTTCATTTAACAAATGATGAATGAAGGCTTGGAAAGTTTTCTTTTCTGTATCCCAGCTTTGAAACAGCTCTGGTGGTGCAGTGTTGAAGGCATTTGATTGTTAACCGGAAGGTTCGTGGTTTAAACCCACCAGCCACTCCATGAGGAAAAGATGAGGCAGTCTGCTTGCATAAAGATTTACAGCCTTGGAGACCCTATGGGGCAGTTGTACTCTGTCCTATAGGGTTACTATGCGTCAGTCAACTCAATGACAATAGATTTCATTCCAACTTTATACTTTGAAAATTTTTTTCAAACCTATACAGTAGTTGAAAGAATAAGAAAATGAACATTTGTACATCTTTCACCTAGATTCTCCCATTTTGCTCCCCCATCTCCTCTTGTATACACGTGTACATGTACACACACACACACACTTTTTTTTTAACTGAGCCATTTAAAGTTGCAGACTTTGACACTTTATCCCTGAAAACATTGATCTCTATGAAGAAGGAGTTACTTTATTATGTAACCAAAGCACTGTTAGCACAAGAGAGATGTTTAATATTATTATAATGTCATTTAACATATGGACTGCATTCAAAATTTTCTAGTTGCAACCAAAATACCCTTTTTTTGCTTTTTGAAAACACAGGATACAGGCAAGGATCCTGTGTTAGATGTGGTTGACACATCTCTTTAATCTAGAACAGTACCCCATGGTTTTGTCCTTCGTGACGTTGTCATTATTGAAGAGTCAAGGCCTGTGTTCTTGTAGAATGTCCTCTATAATCTAGATTTGTCAGATTATTTCCTCTTGATTATATTTAGGCTGAACATTTTTGACAAGTACACCACATAGGTAGTGATGTATACTGCCTGTTGTATTGTTTCTCTGTCCCATTATTGGTGATGCTCAGTTTAATTGATTAGCTTGTTTGGGGCAGTGTCTATCAGTCTCACCACTGTAAATACACCTTTTCTCCCCAAAGCCTCAAAGGTCTAAATTACCTGAGATCATAGAGAAAGAGATGGGGTTAAAGTCAGTTCTGGGTGTGAATGCCTCCACATCCTGTCTTTAACCATTGTGGCCAAGAGGCCACATTGCCTCTTTCTTAAAAGCATTATTGTTTATATTTATGTTTAGTGGTTCATACTGTCCTATCATGTGGCAGTACCAGTGTACCCACTACACTATTAATACATATTTAGGGAGCTTTCGGTTTTTGGCTTGTACATTTTTGTAAGAGAGTCTTGTTGGGTTCTTGTCTCAATTTCTTAAACATCAGAGGTCAGATTTTGGTTTCTTGACTCTCCCAGCTTGCCCCTCAACTGCTTTCCCTGTGTGTGTGCATTCTGGAGAAATGTCTGCCCTAAGTGTGATTTCCTGGCTTGCTCAGAGCCCCCATGCTTGTACAAGCTGTGAGTGAGTGGGTGTTCAATCAGGAGTACGGGTGTGCTTTTCATCCTCTTTCCATATGTCACTGTGACCAGCCTTTAGTGGACCTGACCTGCTGTGAGCCATTATTTTACCTCATTCTCAGTTTTGTGCATGAGGTGGGGTTTTCTACATTTTCAGATGAGGAAACCAAGACTCAGAATCTATCAGACAATGCCAGGAGTCAGTCCTGATTCCTCCCACCTCCACAGCATTTGTTCTTTCTGCTGTACCCTTCTTTGGAGGGTGCTGCAGCCCCACAGATGCTGGTAAGCTCGGAGCTTCAGGGTGATTCAGAGTGCTGGTAGGTAGGGGTCAGAACTCTGAGCCTAGCTCTGGTTTGACCTGGGCAGCTTGGCCAGAGTTGAGTGTCAGGCTTAGGCTGAGTTATGGGATCTCCCTGGGGAGGCGGTGGAAAGGTCCAAGTCTAAAGGGAAGAGAAGCCCCATCAGACTCATTCTGCAGAATGATGACAGCATCCCTGGCTTGGACTTTTCGTATGCCAGGTACATGGCTACAGTCCTTTTGTAGTCCTGCAGAGGTGGGGCTGGTGGCTGTCCCCAGTGTACTGACAAGGATCCTACTGCAAGTCACGTAGCCATTTAGTGACCATATGTGGTTCATAGCCAGGGTTCTTTGATCCCAGGCAATAGCTGTTTCCTCTGCCTTGTTTGTTTCCCACTGCCCATTTTCCCTGTGTGCTATATGGGAATCATAACGAGCTCGTACAGCAGTGTATTGTTACGATTGTCACCATGTTCACAGAAACTGAGAATGAGATAAAATATAGTACAACATAACTGGAATTACTTTATGTATGGTCTGGGCACAGGTCTAATAGGCCAAGGACTAATCAGGCAGTTTTATTCCTAAACCCAGCATCATTCGATGTTCATGGCAACGTGTCTGTGGATTGTCAGGCTAGAGTAGTATCCACAGTTGAAGGAAGAAGTGTGATCTGTACATGTCCATTCTTGCCTGTGGCAATCACCATGTGACCCTTATTACCGCATCAGTATATTCACCATCTAATCATCTTTGGTCCAAGGCATCTAACCTGAGGGTAAATTTGATCTTTTCCTCTCTGTGAACTTGTTTCTGGTGGGAAGAGGCAGAAAAGAGGCAAAAACTTAGCAGGCAGACATCTGCAGTCCTGGCAGTGGAAAGAGAGAGAGACACATGGAGGGAGGGAGAAAGGCAGGGAGGAGGGATTAGATAGAGGGGTAGATAAAATAAAAAGGATATAGAAAGAGAGAGGATTAGAAAGAGAAATAACTTAATCAAAAGACTTTATGTGTTTCTTTTTTATTAAGATTTCTATGTGATTGTTCTCTTAATACCTTTATAAATTTCTTCCCATTTCCTGTATTCTCTCATACCCAGCTTTATCCTCGAACAAGTCATAACATGCACCTTAATCTTGATTTGCAGCCAAAGTGATCATCCACCAGACACTTAGTGTCTTAGAAGATATAGTGGAGAATATCTCTGGAGAATCCACCAAGTCTCGACAGATCTGCTACCAGTCGCTGCAGGAATCCGTTCAGGTCTCCCTGGCCCTCTTCCCAGCTTTTATCCATCAGTCAGGTAGGAGCTGGCTTGGAGGCTGCATTGGGTGGGAGATGGTGCTAACTGGAGCCAGAGTAACTGCTCACATCTACAAAGCTCACTGCCCGGTGCTTGAGTGAAGGGAAAACCCATGCAGAAGGCAGAAGAGATGGCGTGTGATAGGGAGTCCGGGGCTGGGGCCAACTGGAAAAGTGCAGAAAGCCTTTGGATTGGGCCTTGGCCCTTTTGTCATGTGACATGGAGTCACTTGGGACCTCTCGACTGGTGTTTGATTTTAAGTCTATGCCTTCTCCCAGTGTGGAACATAAATGGATGAGAAAACTAGAGCATTATACAAAAGGGGAATGAGAGCTTTCTCAGATAAGTGCTACTTCCTTACTTTTATACGGCAAGGTGACTTTTGCTGAGCTTGTTCCCTCACCCCATCCTATCACTGTCACCGCTGGAGGCCTTTTGGCTCTGTAGATACACTTGCCTGGCTCTCAAGGCAGCATTCACAGCAGTCGTCAGTCCTGCGAGGAATGACAGGGACGTCTCAGTCTGCAGCTATTCACTGATTGCCTCTCGCAAGCTGAATGTGTGCTGTTAGGGCTAAAACATATTCTGCGAGTTGACCGCCTAGATCTGGAAGTGGAAGTGCACTAAATGTAAGCAGTATTTTCTTCAATTAATCCATTTAATGGACCAGAGCCACGCAGACAGAATATACCCTCATTATCCACTTTTAGCCACTTAACCTCTGACCTGTCTGCAGGGATTATTGGTCAGAGAGAGAAATGGCTGAAGTACTCAGGTGGTGACCCAGTCGAATGGTTCCATTAGTGCGAGCACCAAATGATCCATCTGCAGTGGAGACTGAGCGTCACGGGGTGGTGGGCAGTGAGGGGGCTTCCAGACGCCCTTCATTTCCTCCAGCCAGCCATCCGGCAGAGGGTCACCGTGCCAGAGCTGTTTTCTCAGCGTGTCCTTAATCATTTTCCACTTTCCTTCATTGGCTCTGATGGCATTGGGGAAGTGTCCTCCAGCAGGAAGCCTTTTGAGGAAGATGATAGTGCTGATTGCAAAAGAAAATTGATCAAGCCAAGGGCTCCTGTTTATCCCTGTGTGCCTCGCTTTAATCCCTTGGTTTGTCCCTTTATTTAGATGTGACTGATGAGATGCTGAGCTTCTTCCTTACCCTATTTCGAGGCCTTAGAGTACAGATGGGCGTGCCTTTCACAGAACAGATCATACAGACTTTCCTCAATATGTTTACCAGGTAACCACAGACCTACTGGCTATAGTTCCCAGGCTCCAGGTGAGTGATGCACCTGGCTATAATGTGTGGGTTGCTTGCTCCTCTTCTTCACTTACTATAGCCTTGGTTTCCATGCTTGTCCTTGAGGAAACATTTCCTTGGCCTTAGTTACCTAGTGCTGATACTAACAGAAATACCACAGGGGGACAGCTTTAAAACAGAAATTTGTCCTCTCACAGTGTAGGAGTCTAGCAGTCTAAATTCAGGGTGCCAACTCCAGGGGAAAGCTTTCTCTTTCCTTCTGCTCTGGGGGAAGACCCTTCTCTCCTTCCAACATCTGGCATTCCTTGGAGATCTCCATGTGTCTTGGCATCAGTCTTTTCCTGGGTCTAGGAGGTTCTCAGCACAGGACTCTGGGTCCAAAGGATGTGCTCCGTTCCTGACTCTTCTTCTCTCTTGGTGGTAGTCTTGTCCCTTCTCCTCTGATTACTTCTCTCTCCTTTTGTCTTTTGTAAGGTCAATGTAGGCCACACTCCAGGGAGACTCTCATTCCATCAGATCAGAGCTGTGACCTGAGTAAGGGTGTTGCATCCCACCCTAATCCCCTTTACCACTGATTGGCTGATCACATCAGAGCACCTCCTAGGGGACAATCACATCATTACTTAACTTCCAGACCACTGAGATTGAGGCCCAGCTGAGTTGACACACACTTCGGGGGGGATAGAGTGCATTCCATGACAGTGACTACGTGGTGTTTCTCTTCTCTGTAGAGAACAGTTAGCTGAGAGCATCCTGCATGAAGGCAGCACGGGCTGTCGGGTGGTCGAGAAATTCCTGAAGATCTTGCAGGTGGTGGTCCAGGAACCTGTGCAGGTGTTCAAGCCCTTCCTTCCTAGCATCATAGCTCTGTGCATGGAGCAGGTGTATCCCATCATTGCTGAGGTAGGAGGGGCTGAGGTGTTCCCCTGCGTTAGCCCTCATTCCGTAATTGGGGAAGGAGTGAAGTATCTGGGAAAATGTAGTGTATTTTTAAGTTAATTGATTATTTTAATCTTCTGAAATAGTGTTTTAAAAGGAACAACGCCCGTTTTGCTCCCACTAGGATGGCTAAGATGAGAAAAACAGAAAATAACAAGTGGTAACGAGGATGTGGTCACTATGAGCTGAGATCCACTCAGTGGCAACAGATTTTTTGTTGTTGTTTGGTTTTTAATCCATTGCTGCTAGTAGGAATGCAAAAGGGAACAGCTGTTGTGACCCAGCAATTCTATTCCTAGGTATATACCCAAAAGACTTGCAAGCAGAGTGTCAAGAAAAGACTTGTACAGCAGTGTTCATTGCAGCACTATTCACAGTAGCTAAAAGGTAGAAACAACCTAAATGCCATCAACAGATGAACAGGTAAACAGAATGTGCTGCATTCATAGAATGGAGTATTTCTCAGCCAGTGAGAGACGTGAAGTCTTGATGCACACTGCAGTATGATGGAGCTGGAATGCATTATGCTGAATGAAATAAGTCAGTCAGAAAAGCAAATACTGTGTGACTTCATTTCTATAAAAAGAAGAAAGGACAGATGTATAGTGACCAAACTTTATTAGTGCCTATACCAGGGTAGGAGGAAGGAAGAAAAGAGGGGTCAGTGGTGATGGAAGAAATAAAAGAACGGCTGCAGAGGCTGCGATGTACAACCAAACATCACACAGGATTTGATTCCTTGGTTTGTAGTTTAGAGTCATGGTTTCATGGGACATCCCAGTTAGTTGACCTAATAATGTGTTTAGTGTTTCTGTTCTATCTCCTAGTTTATTACAGAGTGCCTGAGATCTTAAAATCTTTCAAAAGCTCCCATCCAAGGCACAACAATTGGTCTCTGTTCACCTGGAGCAACAGAAGAACAAAGAGAGTCAGAATAAGAGTCAAATAGGAGTCAGTTTGACTCATAGTGACCCCTCCTTGGGTTTCTGAGACGGTATCTCTACAGAAGTAGATTGCCCGATCTTCCTTCCAAGGAATGGCTGGTGGGTTTGAACTGCCAGCCTTCTGGTTAGCAATCATATGCCTTAGGCACTACGCCACCAGAGCTCTCAGGAATAGGAAGAGTATATGTGGTATGTGATTAATTGCCTCCATGAACAGTTACCTTCTTTTGCTGTGAGACCAGAAGTGGATGGTGCCCAGCTATCGTTACCGAACATTTTGATCAAAGATTCTGTAGAAGAATCCTGATAAGAAAGAGGGGAAATGATTAGAACAGAATTTCAGATTCTCACGGACCCTAGACTTTCTGGAGCCATGCAGGCTGGATGAAACCCCGAAACTATTGCCCTGAGATAATCTTTGAGGCTTAAACCAAAAATATCTCCTGAAGTCTTCTTAAAACCAAATAATAAATTAGCTTAATTAATAAAAAATGTCTTTCTCTTTTAAGAACTGTCTATATGGAACCAAAGTGACAACAGCAATTCAGAAGGTTAGATGTGAACGTTAGAGGCAGTGGTTTTATGCTAACGAGGAAGGGACAACTCAGAAAAGGAGGGTGAGGATGATTGCACAACTGAAGATTGTAATCAATCACTAAATTGTATGTGTAGAAACTGTTGAGTTGCTATGCATTTTACTGTGTGTATTCTCAACAACAACAAAAATGAAATTTAGAGAAAAAAAACACCATGTTTAAAGGAAAAAAAATAAGAATGGCTTTAGCTCTTTACAATCTTTGTATCAGTCAAGTTAGAACTAGTTTAGTATAAGGATAGTAGATTTAAATAATACAGGTTGATTGGTGAGTAAAATCAGTTTCCTGTGGCAAGCAGTTTATAACTTTAAAGTGGTTATACGATTTTCTACATCAAACATTATACAATGTGTTTTCCTATATAAAGCTTTCACTGTTGTTGTTGGTTACTGTCAAGTCAATTCCGACTCATAGCTACACCATGTGACAGAGTGGAGCTTCCCATAGGTTTTCCTTGGCTGTAGTCTTCATTGCCACCACTTACTTGTCAGTTTCTCATACTGTGATGGCTTGCCTGTTGCTGGGATGCTGGAAACTGTGCCACCGGTATTTCAAATACTGGTAGGCTCACCCATGGTGGACTGGTTTCAGCAGAGTTTCCAGACTGAGACAGACTAGAAAGGAGGACCTGGCAAGCTATGTCTAAAAACACTGGCCAGTGAAAATCTTAAGAAGAGAAACAGAACATTGTCTGATGTAATGCTGGAAGATGAGCCCCACAGATTGGAAGGCACTCAAAATAGGGCTGGGAAAGAGTCACCTTCAGTGAGGTGGATGGAGTAAAGCTTTCTGGACCTTCATTTGCTGATGTGGCACGACTCAAAATGAGAAGAAACAGTGGTAAACATCCATTAGTAGTTGAAACATGGAATGCCCAAGGTATCAATCTAGGAAAATTGGGAGTTGTCAGAAATGAAGTGGAATGTTTGAAGATCAGTATCCTAGGCATTAATGAACAGAAAAGGAATGGTATTGGCCATTTTGAATCAGACAGTGCTGTGGTCTGCTGTGCCAAGAATGACAGATTGAAAAGGATCGCTATCACGTGGATCAGTAAAAAGAACATCTCATGGTCTACCTGAAGTACGTCGATGTCAGTGATAGGATAATATTCATATTCCTGCAGGGAAGACCAGTTAGTATGCTGATTGTTCAAATTTATGCACCAGCCACTAATGCCAGAGATGAAGAAATTGAAGAATTTTACCAACTTCTGCAGTCTGAAATTGATCTAACATGCAGTCAGGACGCATTTGGTAATTACTGGTGATTGGAGTGTGGAAGTTGGGAACAAAGCAGAAGAATCGAGAAATAGGCCTTGGTGATGGAAATGAAGCTGAAGAGGAGATTGCATGATAGAACTTTGCAAAATCAACAAGTTATTCATTGTGGATACATTTCTTCAGCAGCATACATGGCAGCTACGCACCTGGACCTCACCAGCTGGGGTGGAATACCTAGGAATCAAATCGACTGCATCTGCGGAAGTGGGGAAGTGCAGTATCAGTCAGAACAAGACTAGGGGCTGACTGCAGATCAGACCATCAATGACTCATATGAACGTTCACATTGAAGCTAAAGAAAATGTATAAAGGCCATGAGAGTTGTAGTAGACCATCTTAAGAATAGACCAGAAGGAGAGACACTGAACCCAGAAAATGAAAGAAATGTTGAAATAAAAGAGCTGAACAGAAGATTTCAAAGGGTGGCTCAAGAAGACAAAATGAACTTTTGTAATGAAATGTGTAAAGACCTTGGGTTAGAAAAACAAAAGAGAAAAACATGTTTGGCATTTCTCAAGCTGAAAGACCTAAAGAAAAAATTGAAGCCTTGATTTGCAATATTGAAGGATTCTTTGAGTAAAATACTGAATGACACAGGAGGCATCAAAAGAAGGTGGGAGGGAAGGTGCAGAATTATTGCACCAAAAAGAACTGGTCAACATTCAGCCACTTTAGAGGGTCGCCTATGACCCAGAGTCAGGGGTATTGAACAAAAAGGTCAAGCTACACTGAACGCATTTGTGACAAGGCTACAGCAATTAATGGAATACCCATTGAGGTGTTTCAACAAACAGATAAAATGCTGGAAATGGTCACTCATCAATGCCAAGAAATTTGGAAGACAGCTGCCAGGCCAACAGACTGGCATAGATCTGTATTTGTGCCCATTCCAAAGAAGGGCAATATAACAGAAGGTAGAAGTTGAAAAATATCAATATCGCACACAAGTAAAATTTTGCTGAAGATAACTTGCAAGCGATTGTGCAGTACATCTACAGAGAACTGCCAGAAATTGACACTGGATTCAGAAAAGATGTGAAATGAGGGATCATTGCTGGTGTCAGGTAAATCTTGGCTGAAAGCAGGCAATGCCAGAAAGAAGTTTACTTGTGTTTTATTGACTATGCAAAGGCACCGTACTGTGTGGATCATAAAATATTGTAGATGGTATTGCAAAGAATGGGAATTCCAGAACATTTAATGTGTTCACTTGCAGCCTGTACATAGACTGTGAGAGTAAGACCTTTAAACTGAACAAGATGATGCTGTGTGGGTTAAAATCAGGAAAAGTGTTAAGATTATATCTTTTCATCTTACTTACTCAATCAGTATGCTGAGCAAATAATCTGAGGAGCTGGACTATATGAGGAAGAATGTGGTATCAGGATTAGGGGAAGATTTACTAACAGCCTATGATATGCAGACGACACACCTTGCTTGCTGAAAGTGAAGAGGACTTGAAATACTGACTGGTGAAGATCAAAAATTACACTTTTCCCATCCACTGCCATAGAGTCAATTCCAACTCATAGTAACCTTATAGGACAGAGTAGAATTTACTCCAAGAGTTTCTAAGGCCATAAATCTTTACAGAAGCACACTTGCCTCATCTTTCTCCTGCAGAGTGTCTGATGGGTTTGAACTGCCAATCTTTTGATTAGCAGCGAATGCAAAACATAAACCAAAAATCCTCACAACTAGACCAATAAGCAACATCAGATAAACGAAGAAAAGATTGAAGTTAAGGATTTCATCTTACTTGGATCCACAGTTAAGCCCATGGAAGCCACAGTCAAGAAATCAAAGGACGTATTGTATTGGGCAGATCTGCTGCAAAAGACCTCTTTAAGGTAAGTGTTCAAAAGGAAAGATGTTGAGGACCAGCTGCACCTGACCCAAGCTGTCATGGTACATTCAGTTGCTTCATATGCATATGAAAGCTGAACAGTGCATAAGACTGAAGAAGATTGATGCATTTGAATTGCGATGTTGGTGAAGAATATCGAGTATACCATGGACTACAGGCAGAACAAACAACTCTGTCTTAACAGAAGTACAGCCAGAATGCTCTTTAGAAACAAGGATGATGAGACTTTGTCTCATGTACTTTGGACATGTTTCAGGAAGGACGGGTCCTTGGAGAAAGACACCATTCCTGATGAAGTAGAGGGTCAACAAAAAAGAGGAAGACCCTCACCAAGATGGATTGACAGGTGGCTACAACAGTGGGCTTAAACATAGCAATGATTTCGAGGACGGTGCGGGACTGGGCAGTGTTTCCTCCTGTTGTACACAGGGCCCCTGTGAGTCAGAACCGACTTGACCGCACCTAACAGCAGCTTCACCGGAGCAGATCACCAGGTCTTCGTCCTGCAGAGTGGCTAGTGAGTTCAGACTGCCGACCTGTCAGTTAGCAGCCGAGGGCTTAACCGTTGTTCCACTACGGCTCTTTAAAAACCTTCATAGTTGCAAGGATACAAAGCAACTTCTTAGAACTGTTGAAACAAACCTTCCAGTGTTATAGGAAAGCTGTTTACCCTTAGGAAACAGACACTTAGCATGACAAGATCTGTCCAAACTAAGTAAGGCTTGTTGCTTTGCATCATTATGCTTGGGCCCTGTAAGGGTCCCTGCTGTGGGAGCTTATGACCCCTGGCTTATTTAATTTTAATCAAGATTGAATTAAATGTGTCTTAGAATTTTTAATTCTGTAGAGACATCTGTCCTAATGGGACCCGCCATGCTCTTCGGTGGTTGGAGATTTTTGGTTAGGCTATATTGCTGATCTCCCCTTCCCTCTCCTCTCCTGCCCTTCCCAGAATCCTAGCTGTCAGTAGAAGTAGAGACGGGCCCCGGGAGTAATTAGCGCACACTGCCTCCACCAAGCGGCCCTCTTTCACAACAATGCCTGTGGTTCCTCGGTGCTCTTTAAACACTGACTCTCCTTTTCTGTCAAGGGCAGAACTACTTTTAAGGCATACAGATCTGCATCTTGTCTTTAATCTCAGGGGTTGTGTAAGACCAAGCTACCCGGGGCCGTGTTTTTCATCCTGGAAAAAGGAACAACACAACCAAGAACACGACAGGTCAAATCAGCTGCTCTATGAACAGAACATTCATATTCCTAATGGTTCTTCCAGCTTCAAGGCTTTCATCCTAGCTGAAAAGCTGAGTGCTTCCATCAGAAAAAGGGTCCCTTGGCCCTGACCCCATGCATTCTGTCTCAGACGTGGGCCTTGTCTCTGCCGAAGCATTCCTAATTTGATCTGCTGACACAGGGCGGCTTGAGAGTTCACTGTAACGAGTGATAGGAATGTGATGGAATGCTGACACTCGGCGTTTCCGGGCATCTCTTAGGCTTGTTTGTTGTTGAGCCCAGCTGAGGGGCTCCCTGAGAGGCAGGAAGGGGAGGTTTGAGTCTGTCTGTCTCCGCAGCGCCCCTCCCCTGATGTGAAGGCCGAGCTGTTTGAGCTCCTCTTCCGGACGCTCCATCACAACTGGAGGTACTTCTTCAAGTCCACAGTCCTGGCCAGTGTCCAGAGGGGGGTTGCCGAGGAACAGATGGAGAACGAGCCCCAGTTCAGTGCCATCATGCAGGTACGTGGACGAGCTCGTGCCACTGCCGTGTGGTTTGAGAGACAAGCCTCTTTCTGGACACCACCTGGGTCAGTTGGCCTGTCTGTCCCTTGGTTTGCATCTTTGGCATATGAGCCTACTTCCTCTAAATCTGGTCATTATAACAAGTACAGCGACTTGAAGTTCCGTAGCCCTGGGTTTGAAGCTCAGCTGTACCTCTTAATACCTAAAGCTAATTAACTTCTTGGACCCTCAGTGTCTTCATCTGTAAAGTAGGGATGAAACTGCTTTATTTCACGGGTTTGTTGGGAGGTAAGTGAGGTAACTTGCACAGCTGGCATGTGGTAGGTACTCGGTGTCTGTCATTTGCCTTTACCTTACAAAGTGTCACCAGGGGCTTCCTTAGCTGGAAACTTCCTGAATGGGAATCCCCTGGTAAGGGGCCCAGTGATCTGTATTTCTTAATTGCCCCAGATAAGTTTGGCTTGTACCATGTTGAGAGAACTGCTACGCTGTGAGTTAGTACAGGCAGTCCCTGGGTTACAGATGACATCTGTCCAAACTAGATCTTTATGAGTTTGTCAGGGCTGTGAACCAGTTCTTCCCTGTTTAGTCATGGCCGAGGAAGTATCCCCATAACAGACTCGAATTTTTAAAGTTACGCAAACCACAAAGATAGCCAGAGTGGGAAAAATGAGGGGTCAAAGCTTTGCTGGAGACTGCATCTCCCTCTTAACAGGAGAAGGGCAGCGTGTGTATTGCATCGCAGCCAACTCTCTTGCCCTTGGGTTTTGAGCCCAGTGTGAAGCAGCACTGTCCCACTCAGGGGTGGTGGCACTCAAACAAGGCAGCCAGCCTCACTGATTTGAATGTGTGTCATTCTCCACAGTCCTGGCAGTAATCCTTCAGGCTCCTGAAAGGGCTCACTACACTATTCCAGGCCTGCGACCCGTAATTATTCCTGTTCCAGGTAGCTGCCTAATTTGTCCAATTGTAGACATTCAGGTCTGTTCCTGTTTTCATTTCATCAGCCATGACAGAACTCATTTAAAGAGCAAGTAGTTGTTGTCCCTGAGTTTGTCATCCATAACCGGGGACTGCCTCCTGTACTTACTTTTAGATCATGTGTGACCGTGATCCCCTGTAGGGTGAGCTGTCTTGGGGGGTGCTGCCCACACTTTGCTGAGGAAGGCTGTGGGACAGCCACACTGGTTGGTGGTTGCATGCAGCATCCCCCAGTGGTCTACATTCAGTTGTGCAACTTTTCTGTTCTAAGCCCAGGTCTAAGCAGAGGGTTCTTCCTGCCCGCCCCTGGTATGCTCCCACTTTTCCTCATGGGGAAGCCTCCCTTCAGCCCCAGCACACAGCACACCCCCCAGAGTGGAAATCCCTCTCTGGGAAAGCACATGCCCTGTCCCTAGTCTTCTCTGGTGGCTTAGCTGCTCTTCCATCCCCAAAACCCCAGTCAGCCTTGGGTTTGGACTATTGAAGGCTATACTCCCCTCCTTTCTCCCTTTTAAACTTTTTTAAGACTTTAAGACTTCATGGCAGACCGATATGCCTTGTCCCTGCACTCAGGACTGGTAGAAGCCCCTCTGAAAAACAGTTTCAGTTTTTTTTTTTATAAAGTTAAATATATTTTTACGATATGACCTAGCAATCTCAATTCTAAGTATTTTACCAAAGATAAATTCAAACATGCTCATGTGAGCTGTACACTAATATTTAAGTGGCTTTTTTCATAAGTGTGCCAAACTAGAAATAGTCCAAATATCCGTCAGCTGCTGAGTGGATAAGCAGACTGTGTCACGTGCGTGCAGTAGAATACCCCTCAACGATGTAAGTGACCATATTGCCGATGGGAACAGTGACACAGTGACTTTCAGTACGTGATGCTACGTACAGAACCATATCCGAAGACCACACACTATGAGATTCCATCCATATGCCATCTAGAAATGGCAAAACAGCAGGGACAGAGAACAGAGCAGGGGTTGCCTGGGGTAGGGGAAAAGGATTGAACATAAAGGGGCAGAAGGGAGCCTCCAGGGAGATGGAAGTGTCCGGTCTTGACTGGGTGGTGGTTGGGTGGCTGTGGTGTTTGTCAGGATCCATGCAGTGGTGAGCTGGGCAGGTTGGATTTTACTGTGTATTATACTTCAGTAAATGAGACATCTTAGCACGGATTTTGCGGCAGGCACACGACTGGGCAGTGTTTTGTCCTGTTGTACGTAGGGTTGCTATGAGTTGGAGTCAACGTGACAGTTTCTAAAAACAACAAATGGGACTTTTTAAATAAATAAGCAAACAGTAGTCATCATGGAGATCTCGTTATTCCAGGAGGAATTACGGGGTTCCCGCTCACAGCTTAGGTGTCCAGGGGCAGAATGGCAGAGCTGCCACCAGCTCATTCTAGGAAGGCTTCCTGAGATCCACTGGGCTTGTGCTTCATTCCCCTCATTTGTCCACAGTTGTTTACTGCTGGAGCAGGACTGTGTGTGTGTGTGTGTGTGTGTGTGTTTAGGGGTATGGTGTGTATGCTCTTTTTGTCTTAAAAAAACAAACAAACTAGTAACTAGTAATTTTTACAATCTGGAAATTGCAAAGTAGTTTAAAAATGTACTGTTGCTTAGCCCCGAGGTAGACACAGTGAGCTGTCAAGGAGCCCTTCAGGGCTTTGTGGTTTATGAGACTTGGGATGTGGAGGAAAGGAGTGGTCACCTGAGTGGGACTGGTTGGCTTGAGGGGAGGCAGGCAGACTTTGATACCTGGTAAGATTGCTGAGGTATTTTAACTAGTGTCAGCTTCTTGCTTCCAAGATAGGGCCCATGAAAGATCTAGAAGTTTGTCACAAAAGGGGCAGCATTACACCAAAATAGGAGGTGAGGTCCTGTGGGGAAGATGAAGGTCTACAGATGTGATCAGGTGGACCCCAAGGATTGAGACAGGGTATCCTCCCATCAGCTAACAGCACAGGAACACTCCAGGAGCATTGGTGCCTTTGGCATAGGGTGGGGCCTCTAGTAGGCTTTGATCTAAGGGTGTTCGCATACTGTTTTTAAAATGGTGATCTTATGTCCTAGGCTTTTGGACAGTCCTTTCTACAGCCTGACATCCATCTATTTAAACAAAATCTGTTCTACTTGGAGACTCTCAACACCAAGCAGAAGCTATACCACAAGGTAAGAGCCCCATTTCTCTTAGAAAGTCTTCTTCATCAGAGTCAGCATGGGCTTAGGCTGAACCCACTTTTCTGAGGTCCGTAATGGGATCCTGAAAGCACAAACAGTCTAAGGCCTTGAATAGGTCCTGGGAGACCTGGACAAGACCCCACAGCCATTACTCACCTTGCTCTCTCTGTAGAAGATCTTCCGGACCACCATGTTGTTCCAGTTCGTGAATGTGCTGCTCCAGGTGCTGGTCCACAAGTCTCACGACCTTCTGCAGGAGGAGATCGGCATTGCTGTCTACAACATGGCCTCGGTTGACTTTGATGGCTTCTTTGCAGCCTTCCTCCCAGAGTTCCTGACCAGCTGTGATGGCGTGGATGCCAACCAGAAAAATGTGCTGGGACGGAATTTCAAGATGGATCGGGTGAGAAGAGAAGGAAGCCAGGCTAAAGGGAAGGCAGGTGTGGGCTCTTGGGCCTGGTGGCTATTCAGTGAGGAGAGCCAGGCTGTCCCGGGGAGGTGAGGAGCCCCCTGTGTGGTTTTTCCCATCTTGTGGGCTGGCTGTAGCTCGTGCAGTGCCTCCATGACTCAGTGGTGAATGTTGTGGTGGCTCGAGGGCCCACATTCTTCCCCCAGCCTTAGCTTCTGTGGCATATATGTCCCCAGTCTCAGGCACTGGTGCCTTCCTGGCCCTAGCAGTCTGTGTGGTTCGTTTCAAAGGAGGGAAGACGCCCAGTCTCAACCTCTTTGGACTTAATTCCACCCCATCAGAGCACGCCTCTGACCAGAGTCCTGCCATTATTTCCTTGTGGGTGATGAGCCACCACAGGAGCAGCATGAAGTGTGGTTGAGGTCACACTTGTCACTCTTCACTCACACTTGCAGACCTACTGGCAGCTGAGAAGATGGGTGTTTGGCAGCTGTACTTCTGGGTCCCCAGGGTTAGAGATGGGCCCCAGGCTCCACAGGTTGCCCTGGGCTCTCCCTAGACGGCCCCAAGCTCAGCCCAGGCTCACCTGCCTCCAGGCCCTGGGCTCACCCCACACTGACCGAGTGTTTCCCCCGTGTTACTTAAATGGACTGTGTGAGCCCTTATGGTGCTTGTCCTCTCGTTCCACTTTGCTCACCTGTGGAGGTCAGGTGGGCTGTCCCAGCCTATGCAACAGCACCTAGTGTGGGAGCTGGAGACGGAGGTGGCTCTGGATGGACGTAAAGTCGTCATTGCTGCGTTTGGGCCCTGTGATGCCTGGCTTCTCCTGCCCAGGGACCTCCTTCCTGGGAGCCCACCTGCCTTCCTCTGTCCTGTTTCAGATGTTCTTCATAGCAGCCTCTGTTCCTTGGTGATGGGTTCTTCTTGGAACTTTCCCTGTCAAATAAGTAGGCTTCCTCTTTCATCTTTGGACACTTGATCAAAGTAAATGGTTTATTTCTGCCTGACTCCTCTTGGTGTTCCTGGCTTCACCCCTGTTGCGGCTCGCTGGCTCTCACTGTTGACTGTGCATATTGCGTTGTTCCTGGCCTCTATTTGGTAAATGTGTCAGGGTAGTTTTCTCTTCAACTTAACTCTTACTCTCCTGTGTCTTTCTTTCCCTGAGATCTGTCTGGTATTCTTCTAGGCTTCCTCAACTTCACATTAGCCACTTGGATATTTTTTCTTCTTTTTCTTGGAGACCAAAGTCCAACATGAGCTGATGTGTCTAATGATGTCATCGTCTGTCAGTTCCTTGATTTAAAGCAGTGGTTTCCCAATCTCATTATGTGTCAGAAGCACCTGGGGCGCTTATTAAAAATACAGAAACAGAGTCCTGTGTTGAACCCACCCCAGCAAATTCTGATTTGATGTTTGAGAGCCACTGATTTAAAAGGCATTTATTCCTTGGTTTGTTTTCTTGAGGCTGGACTCAGTAAAGGAATCATGACCTTCCATTCATTCATTCGCTGTGTATTTGAAGCCTGCTGCCTCATGCCCTGTGCCACGTGCTGGGTCACCAATCCCTGCCTTCAGGGAGTTTTGTGGGGGAAAAAAGGCAATATTACAGCACCCCCTGTGGGCCGCATTGTGCCAAGCACGTTCCGTGTCTGACTAGTTTAAACCTTCTGAAGTGTGGGTACTGTTTGTTACTAATCCCATTTCACAGATGAACCCAGGCGCAGAAAGGTCAGCAGTCAGTTGGCAGTTACAGACTTGGAAGTGGCAGAGCCAGGAAGCAGGAGTCAGACCTGAGTGTTCTGGCCCCAGGGCCAGCACGTGCTCTCCAGTAACAGGGTGGGCTGAAGCCTCTGATCGCGCAGAGCAGAGATGCTGACCTAACCAGCTGGGGCCAGGAATCAGGAGGTGTCTGAGGGGCCTTTTTGGAAGAGATGGGCTTCTTATTTTTTAAGTTTTTTTTGAAAGAAAAGGAGTTTTATTGAGGAGTAGTAACAGCATAGTGCCTAAGGCACTTGACTGCTAACCAGAAGGCTGGCGGTTCAAACCCACCAGCCACTCCTCGGAAGGAAGGTTGGGCAATCTACTTCCATAGTGATATTGCCTCAGAAACCCAAGGAGGGGTCGCTATGACTCAGGTCTGACTCGATGGCACATAACAACAACAACAACAGTAACAGCTGCAGTTGGGCATCATCTACTAAGGTTACTGAGTGCTCCAAAGTATAGCAGATGAGAGAGCTTTTCATGAAGAGGTTGAGGGAAACAGTAACCATCAGTCATTCGTTAGTAACTATAAGTTACATGTCAGTTAATCTGTGCATGTCCTGGAACCAACCAGCACAAGCATTTTGTGAAAACGTTTCTACTTATCTTTCAGGGACAGGATCAGCTTGTGTAAAAGCATTCTTTCTGATATCAGCCACAGTTTTGTTCCCTCCTCTTATTCTCTGAGACAGAACAGATTAACTCGTTACTTTGAGTTTGGCTCAAATGCCTCTCATTTTTTAGGTGTGTTAACACATTCTCCCCTTTTGATCAACCTCTACTGGGGACATGATCACCCATAATGGAGTCGCCTTTCTGCAAGGACTTTTTTTTCATAAGCAGCTGTGTCTTCACCTTGCTGCATTTATAGGGCTTCCCTTGAGGATGAGCTCTGGGTTAGTTCTTAACAGGTAACAGACAAGGCCACATTTGAGCAACATTCAGATAGATCCTACAGGGTCAGTATGCAGTACTCCAGAGGGAAAGAAGAAAGAGGATGGCCACTTCCTGACACAAGGCTCTTCGAGATACCTAATTCTTCTCCTTTTTTTTTTTTTTTTGAACAATTTATGCTTTTGTGAAAGTTTATGCAGCAAATTAGTTTTCCATTCAGTGATTCATACACAGATTGTTTAATGACATTGATTACAATCTCTGCCATATGTTAGCACCCTCCCCATTTCCACCTTGGGCTCCGTGTCTCCATTCCTCTGGTTTCTCTGCCCCTTCCTGTCTTTTCATCTTTGTTTTTGGGCATATGTTGCCCTTTTGGTCTCGTGTAGGTGATTGTCCTAAGGAGCACAGTCCTCGTGGGTGTTAGCGTGTATTTTATAGGCACATCTGTTATTTGGTTGAGAGGTAGCCTTTAGAGTGGCTTCAGTTCTTTGTTAGAAGGGTGACTTAAGGCAGCAGTCTCAGGGGTGGTTCTTGTCCCTCTCAGAAAAGTAAGTCTGGTCTTTTTTATTTTCTTTTAAATCAGTTGGGGCTTTGTTCTACATCTTTTTCCTCTTCTAATCAGGACCTCCAGTTGCGTCCCTGGCCAGGGCGGTTGACTGTGGTAGCCAGGCACCACCTTGTTCTTCTGGTCTCTGTCTGGAGGAGGCTGTGCTTCTGTGGACCCTTACTCCTTTGGACTAATTGCTTCCTTGAGTCTTTGGCTTCCTTCACTCTCCTTTGCTCCTGGTGAGAAGAGACCAACAGTTATATTTTAGGTGGCTGCACACAAGCTTTTAAACCCCAGAAAGAAGAGGCATACTTTGAGCTAAATTCTGAAAGGGGCGTTGAGATTAGCCAGGTGAGGGGATGGGGGATGGTGAGTGTAGTGGAGAAAAGCCGGCAGTGCCTTCAGCTGTTTTCTGAGCCTAGTCTTACCACCCAGGGGGCTCTCCCTCCCTGCTCATGGGTTTAAAAAGGGAGCATCTTGGCACCTCCAGCAAGGGCAGGGATCCGACTCACTGACAGGGCTTTATAGACTTATTTTACTCCTCATCTGGGCCTACACAGTAGGCATTTGGTAGTCCCGATCAGAAGTACGTGGTAGTGTTCAGGGTTTAAAGGACAGGGGCTCTCTTGCTCCATAGTGTGGGTGCTTTCCATGCTGCTCCCTATCAGGATGGGTGTGGGGGTGGTGTGTGCGTCATTCTTGTTGGCAGAAGCTGCCTGGAGCCCTCTGTGGGGAAGGATTTCCTGGCATTGCTGGGTTGGCCATGGTGAAGGAGCAAGGAGTGAGGTGTATCAGCAGGCACACCAGTGGCCCAGAGCCTGGGCCGGGAGCAAGGGGGCTGATTCTCACCTGGTCCCCTCCCCTTCCTGTCTGTGTAACCAGGGGCCAGCTTCTTAATCTCTCTGAGTTTGTTTCTTCATCCTTAAAACGGTGATGATGAGGAGGAGTAAATGGGTTGGTACCTGTAGGTGGTTGAGGGTGGTGCCTGGTACACGGTGAGCACTTTGGGAAGGTGTCTTAGCTGTTGCTTTTCTCCTGCTGTGCCGGGCACAGAGCCTCTGCTGACCCACAGGGTAAGAATGAGTAGAGATGGTGAGTTTTGTCAAATGTAGCATGTTTCCAAATCACACATTGGGATGGAAAGAGCTGTTGGGGCCGGGCAGGGTAGGGAGTGCGATGGTGGGTAATTCGGGGGTGTTGGGTGGGGCAGGAGGGCCTGCAGTGGGGCCAGGCTGCAGCTGTGCCTCTGCCTTCCAGGACCTGCCCTCGTTCACCCAGAATGTGCACAGGCTGGTCAATGACCTGCGCTACTACAGACTCTGCAACGACAGCCTGCCCCCTGGCACTGTGAAGCTCTAGGCTGGGCCCTGCACACCTGCACGCCTGGTCGGCCTGCTTACCTCCCGAGGGACACCACCTTCTGCCACCACCACCTGCACCACCTCACCGTCCACCACAGATGTCTCCCAGACAAGCCTCGGCCACTCCTTGGATTCTCACACCCTGAGCAGCAGTGCCTGTCCCCGCCCCTCCTCCACTGTCCTCCTGCCGCCCACCCAGCAGAACTGGCTGCAGGTGCAGCTGAGTGCTGAGTGGAGTCCAGTTCCAGGGCATTTGGAGCAGGCAGAGGGCCGCGTGGCCAGGAGGTGCTAGGAATCCCGTGGGGTGCACTGTTTGGAACATGTGGGTATCAGGCATGAGACAGAAACGCCAAGGACAGCTTCTCAGCATTCCATCTGCCCAGCCCTCCCCAGCCCAGCTGGCCAAGGAGAGACGTGATGTCAAAACTGTTTTGGGATTTCTATCAAGTCCCCTCCCCCCAACTGCCTTGAAGTCTCTGCTCTTTGTCAGATATTTGCAAAGACTCATGTTTTTGTTGTTGTTTTCTCATCATTCCATTGTGATACTAAGAAACTTAAGAAGCTTAATGGAAAAATAAAATGCTTATGTTGTTGTTATATAAACACTGGTTAAGGAGCAACCTTTCACTGAGTCTCTTCAAGGCCAGTCTCCGTGAGGGCACCTTCCTGGTGGAGGCGGGGCCCTGAGAGCGAGCCTGTCAGGACTGACTGGTGTAGCACTCTTCCTACATCCCACTCTCTTCTAGAGAACGCCTCCTTTAAGCCGTGTGAAAAACAGGCCCCATTTCTCCTGCTTGGCTGGGTGGTGGAGGCAGGTGTGGAGCTGAGGCCCTGCCTGCCTCCCGGTTCTGGGGTGTCCGCCACCCCTGCCCCTCAGGGTGGTAAGTGTGGGCTCCGACGCCTCAGCCTCCCAGGGAATGGACCCCTTCCCCAAATACCCAGCCAGGAATTGTTCCGCAAGGGAACTACATCTCACTTGAGGAATGCAGGAGTGGGGAGGGCTCTGGATGGACTCCCTGAGAATAGTAGTTGGAAAAGGGGATGAGAGGAAAAGAGGGAGACAGAGGTCAGCTACGTGTCGGGTGGGGCTGGGAGGATCCGTGGGGGGTGAGAGCTGTGACCTGCCCAGCCACGCGTGTGTGGAAACGGTACTTGCTCTCGGAGTCTCCAGAACGGCAGCTCCTCCTACCTTTGGTGTCAGCACTACTCTGGATGACAGAAGTAGGGGGGTACACTCCCTGGCAGGAGGAGGTTCCCGTGCCTTAAAATGAGGATGGGGATTGTGGACCGAGAGGAGAAAGGGGAAAGTGGGTGCAGGTTGTTGGCTTATACTTCTGGGCCTTGATAACAAATCAGTGTGGCAGGGATGGGTTTGAGTCTCTCTGTGTGTGCGTGCGTGTGCATGCGTGTGTGTGCATGCGTGTGTGTGTAGGAGCAGCTCCCTGCTCTGTGTAAATCACAGCCCCCGTGCCCCCACCTGCAGCTAGCCACACTTCGAGTTCATCAAGGAAGGCCTTGAGACTCCGATCGCTCTTCTTCAGAGGGAATTACCATCCAGTTATTCCTGAGCTATGAAAACCATCTCCCCTGCCTGCTAGCGGGGGCCGGGGTACTATCTTAGGCCTGATTTTATGAAAGGCTTTTTTGTTTACCTGGAGGTAGAGAGGTGAGGGAACGGGGTTTATCAGCCTATGGACCCCACCTTTGGACAGAACACAGGCAGGACGTGGAATAGAATAGGAAAGGCCCCGGGAGTAAGATGGAATGAGTTGGAGGTTTCTTCTCGGCTGGTGGGCAGGTCAGTCATGAGCTCCCCGTCCTTGGAGATGTGCAGGCAGTGATTGAGGACCTACAGAAGGGGTTGCCTCCTGTGGCGTGGATAGGGACGGTTGCCATCCAATTGATTCTGACTCATGATGACCCTGTGTGCTTCAGAGTAGAACTGTGGATTCCTTAGAGTTTTCAGTGTCTATGACCTTAAGGAAGTAGAGTTGCCAGGCATCTTTCAAGGTACCTGTGTGTATTCAAACTGTCAACCTTTGGGTTAAACCGTTTGTGCCACTTCTCCCATTGGAGGGAAGTTAAATATCTCTGGTAAGATTCCTCTTGCCTACCGTGTCACACACGTAGAAGTATGAGTGGAACTGGATTGAATTCTCAGACACGAGACGAATCCAGAAGTTGCCTTTGCATCTTGAGGAAAGGGCTAGGGGAGGCTAGAGATGAGTGAGAACGAGCCTTCAGATGGGTCTCAGGTGAGGCCTGCTCTCCTGCCTCCCGCTTTCCGTCCTGGCTCCATCTTTTACCCTCATGCTGCCTCTCTCTGGTTTAAGTACAACACCCACCACGGGTACAGTCACTGGCTTCCAAGAAGGAGGCGTCTGATGAAACCTTCGTCTTCATAGTTTCCAGCATTTTCCTCCACCACCTACCAGGGGCCTGAGAAGATGGAGGGTTGACTTTCTTCTTTTTAGTAGCATTTGTTTTTCTCTTGACTATAAAATAAAACTAAAAAATCTTCCAAACAAATCTGTCCTGTCCTGGAAGAAGTATGGCTGGAATGCTTCTTGGGAAGTGAGAATGGCCAGACTTCGTCTCACCTACTTTGGTCATGTTGTCAGAGGGAACCATTCCCTGGAGAAGGATGTCATGCTGGGTAAACTGGAGGGTCAATGAAAAGCGGGAAGGCCCTCAAAGGTTCAGATTGACCCAGTGGCCGCAGCGATGGCCTCCTGTATAGCAGGGATTGTGAGGCTGACACAGGACCGGGCAGTATTTCATTCTGTCATATGTGGGGTCACTGTGAGTCAGAGCTGACTTGATGGCATCTAACAACAACAACAACATAAAATGTTTGTTGTAGAAGAACGTGTGAAGAATGCAGAAAACTCTTTTTCAGTCATTTAACGTGTAACCATTTCCCCATTAAATATTCTACAAAAACATGATTCTTAATAGCAGATGGCATTAGATCAATATCCCATCACTTGACTGTTTACACCTTTATTATAACTCTCTGTACTTCATCATTTCCATAAGTTAAATTCCTACATGTGGAATTGCTGGGTCCGGTGGCTTTGGGACTTGTAACAGGTATTACTGGGGCCTGATTTTTATTCTGAAGAAGGATAAAAGATAAAGTCGTTGGAATCACAAAGTGTCTAAGGCTTAAAGCTCCACTGAGACCGTTGGACCGAAGCAACATCTGGTCTTGTGGGTCTAGAAGACTCTGAGGCCCAGGCCTCCCAGCTGGTTAGTGGCAGGGCCTGACAAGGTTTAGGACACAGCTCCATGTCTCTTGGCCATTTGTGAGCCACATAATTACCCCAGTGCTACTGTCGGTTCTGACGTCTTTGTAGGGTGCTGGGGACCAGGAAGACTAAAGCAGCTGGTAGTTTAGTTTACTCCCTGGGCCTTGGTGGAAGAACATTGATTGGTGTCTGCTCATTAATAATTATTTACTGAGTACCGACTGAGTTACTTATAAAGACAATGTTATCAAGTACCTCTGTGAGCCAGGAGTGGGCTGCATTTGACAGACTTGGAGATTAATAAGATACAGCCTGTGCTCTTGTAATCCATGGACCAGCGGGGAGACAGATAGGAAAACAGATTGTTGCAGACTGATGTGCATGTAGGAAAGGTTACTAAAAACGAAATCTACTCCAAACAGCTTCAGCTTCTGCAGTCTGAAATTGACCAAATGTGCAATCAAGATGTGTTAATTATCACTGGTGACTGGAATGCAAAAGTTGAAAATGAAGAATCACTGGTAGTTTGAAAATTTGGCCTTGGTGACAGAAATAACACTGGAGATCACATGATAGAATTTTGCAAGACCAACAACTTACTCATTGGAAATACTTTTTTCCAACAACACAAATGGTGGCTATACACATGGAATTCACCAGATGGAGTACACAGGAATCAGATTGACTACATCTGTGGCAAGAGGCGATGGAAAAGGTCAATATCTTCAGCCAAAACCAGGCCAGGAGCTGATTGTGGAGCAGACCATTAACTGCTTATATGCAAGTTCAAGTTCAAGTTGAAGACAAGCCCACGAGAATCAAAATAAGACTTTGAATACCCTCCTGAATTTAGAGATCATCTAAAGAATAGATTTGAAGCATTGAACACTAATGACCAAAAACCAGAAGAATTGGGGGATGACATTAAGAATATCATCCATGAAGAAAGCAAGAGGTCATTAAAAAGAAAAGAAGAAAAGACCAAAATGGATGTCAGAAGAGACTCTGAAACTTGCCTTTGAGCAGAGAGTAGCTACAGCAAATGGAAGAAATGACAAGATAAAGAGCTGAACAGAAGATTTCAAAGAGCAGCTCGAGCAGACAAAGCCAGTCACTATAATGAAACGTGCAAAGACCTGGAGTTAGAGAACCAAGAGCGAAGAACACGCTCAGCATTTCTCAAGCTGAAAGAACTGAGGAAAAAATTTAAGCCTCAAGTTACAATACTGAAAGATTCTATGGGAAAAATATTGTACGATGCAGGAAGCATCAAAAGAAGATGGAATACACAGAGTCACTGTACCCAAAAGAACTGGTTGATCTTCATCTATTTCAGGAGGTGGCATATGTTCAAGAACCAATGATGGAAGAAGTTAAAGCTGCACTGAAGGAATTGGCGAAGAACAAGGCTCCGGGAATTGACAGAATACCCATTGAGATGTTTCAACAAACAGATGCCCCACTGGAGGCACTCACTTGGCTATGCCAAGAGATTTGGAAGACAGCTACCTGGCCAGCTGACTGGAAGAGATCTGTATTTGTACCCATTCCAAAGAAAGTGATCCCACAGAATGTGGAAATTATCAAACAATATCATTGATATCTCATGCAAGTAAAATCTTACTGAAGATAATTCAAAAATGGTTGCAGCAGTATATTGACAGAGAACTTCCAGAGGTGCAAGCTCGATTCAGAAGAGGATGTGGAACAAAGAATATCATAGCTGTTGTCAGATGGATCTTGGCTC